AAAAATAGGGATCCTTTTAGGTTAGTTAAGATTAGATTAGGTAAAATAAATAATAATAATATTATAATAAAAATTTGCACGAGGCACACATGCGAGTAGCTCATGGGTAATGTAGTTTGTTAGCATAATGTGAGCTGCATGTGCCCCAAGTTATTTACAACATATAATAGCACGAACAGTAGTTAAACAAGTTTAAAGGACAATAAAACAATAAAATGTAATTATAAATAGATGTTTACTGTTATGAACTTAGAGCTACTTAGGATAAACGAATGTAGTTTCATGTTACAATTTGAAGTCATTCTAGAAAGAAAAAACAAGGTAATTTAGGTTTATTTCAATTCTTTTTTTGGGTAGTGTGGGGTTCGTCGAATTTACTGATCCCGTTTTGAGATAAGGTAGAGAAAATAACAGATAAACTATAAAGTTTTACTGAAAAAAAAACGTTTGAAATGTATTTAGGAGGTTTTGGGGATTACACAAAGGAATTTTGAGATTTTTGAGATGAGGAAAAGTATTTTTTATTTTAACATGAAAATTACTTTGCATAAGGACTGTTCAAAACAAATGCTCAATATATTCATGGACAATTCTTTATTTTATTTTATTAAAAATACTTCACTAAGAAATATATAGGCATTGTGTCGCACTCCTATTGGTGGAGGGTTGCTGCAAGATCATTCGATTGATAGCATGTAGATGTGAATACATGAGGGTAGGTGGGAGTATGAAGGCTAGTGGCGAACAAACATCTGCCCATACAGAGGGTAGTATTAGTCGATAAAAGCTTGTGAGAATGGGTAGGATATATTATCAGAAACTATCTTTCCTATGTTAAAACTTAATAACTAAAGAAATACAACCATGCAGCTTGCAACATCTTGTAGCCTAACTCAAACTGATTTTATTGTCATATTTTTGTTCACCACAATGAGTAATGTCAGGATGGCAACCATGCAAGAAAAGGCTCAAGGTGCTGGATGGGTCGGGGTGGGCCAATTCTGCGACCTCTGGATTCATTGTCTACTGACATGTCAATAAAAACTGATTGAATTGGACTACAAGATGTTGAAAACTGCATGGCTGTATTTCGTTAGTTATTAAATTTTAAAATAGGAAAGTAATTTTGGACCACCTTGTATAATGAAGATGGAAATATAGTAAATTAATACAAATCTGAACAGTAAACCTAGACAAAACACTGAAAACATACTTTAAATATAACCTAAAAGACTGTATCTTAATTTCTCAAAACAAAACTTTTAACTTTATTTGCTGAAAACAGTTTCAAATTCTTAGATCATAATCTCTTTTGTTTATAAAATATAAACAAACTGTACCTGGTGAGGGATCAGGGTCTTGTTCGGGCTTTACTCCATAATATTTTGCCCAGTCTGCTCTTCCTGTAGCTGCGAAATATATAACAGCACCACATGCATTCCATGCAAAGAAAATGTAAAGTAAACCTAGTCTTCTATCCCAAGTGCTTGCTTTTGATTGTTGTATGGGTCGGAAGCTACTTCGTATGAATCTCCTCAGCCTGTGGCCAATTAAACCCATGAATATTTTTTGTGGCAGTTAATATCTGTACAAACAATAGAAAACAACCTTAGTATGAGGCAAGGAATACTACCAGGGTGTTTCTATAAAGATTAAAAAATAAAACACTAGATTGAAAGACAGAGTAACTGAAAAAATCCATATCTGAAATCAAGATAGCTAAATCATCATGATACACAAAGCTGTGAAAGAAAATTCATAATTACTTCTTGCAGTAGATTTTACAATGACACCTGCAATATGTAACTTAAATAAATGCCTTAAAATCCATGTAAAATCCTCCTTTATACAAGAGACATATGTAAGTCAATTAATCCAAATTATTAGATTGTGATAAAAATGTTAGTAATATACTTTAACAGGCACAATATTTTTTGTATTTATTAATTTTGAAAGTTAAGTATATCAAAACATCATAAGGTAACAGACTGTTGTATTTGACTTTTTTTTTAAATATATGATTTCAATCCCCCTTTTTGAGGATAACGATAAAATTGTACCCATTGTTCTATGTTTCACTGTTAATGCAGAAATTTATGAATCTCTAATTCAGCTGGTATATCATCTCGGTTGGAACATACTCAAATAATTTCTTCCCTAATCCGATCTGGACTCATGGTTTAGCTTAGTCGCTACACTTAAACCATCACATTCACAACCATATCTAGAACATTTCAAGCATGTTTCATTGCTACATCATTTTACTCGACATTTATTAGTTAACTTCTCCACATTGGCTCTCATAGTCTTGAGTCAGGTCACGGGTCTGGTTCAGTGACCTAAATCTTAAAAATAGCATAAAACGTCTTTTTTTTTGTCTAATGAAGATAACCCAACCTTTCCGGAATGACTCATTTTCTTCTTATCCACATCAAGTAACATTAACTGGCTTACTAATTAGAAATTGTCGTTGTACTAAAACTTAAAACTGCATTTCAGCTAGAAGACCTTTTCTTGTCGTGAGAAATGACACTGTAAAAGAAAACATTTTTCTCACTTGAAATGCAGGATATACCCTTTGCCCAGATGGAAGTATGAAAGGAGGAAGGCAAAATGAGCTACTATGTCACAGAGATGGGTGAAAAGAGACATGACCAATTGAGCATTTTTCACCCAAACAGGCTGGTTAGACTTGAGGTGTAGTGTGGCTAGGACAATGATCAGACCATACAGTTCGGCACGTATTCTGTTGTACAACTGACTTACTTTACGCACAAGAACAGGGAATAAATTCCTTCTCATTGCATGAGAAGAACACTTTGCCCTTATCTGGCTGGTCAAACCACTAGGAAATTGGCATATCATTTAACCCTATCAAGACAGGTCGGGGTCAGAGGGCATATCATCATGTTTGCAGACTTATTTGCAAAAATTTATTGAACTACTATTTTATGAATGTTTGTCAATATGTTTGGCACTAAATTATAGATTATAATTCAAATTTTTAGTTTATACATTAGTTAATTTCTTAATTTGAAAGTAAATATAAAAAAAAGAAGCTAAATATAAATTTTTCTGTGTCACATGGTACGTCATTTTCTGGGTTTGGTCAGATTGCCCACAATACAACGTCCATAGTTTCATATGAATTATAAGCTCAAATTTCCAATACTGGCAAGCTACAACATAAAATAAGAACCTCCTACTTTTTCTATTTGCTGAGATATCATAATATTTATCAAATCCACCATATTGGCTCCACCCACAACTTCATCATTTGAGAAGATTTGTTTATCTACACCTGCTTCTTTATACTTAGAAGTTTATAACCAATCAAAAGCTCTACATTTTCTCTAGATAATTCTGTTAGTTTTTCCAAGTTGTTTACAAGAGAAAAGCTCTTATATTGTTGGAGAGTTTGAAGTATTATGATCAATGCTATTTTCCGAACAGAAATTAGATTTTTTTTTACCCAAATACAGCATAGTTAGGAAGCCTGGTAAATTACAGTAGATTTTTTGTGGTATCGGTATAGTCATTTATAATTTTTCAATATTCAAAAATGCATATATATAGTGTACAAAAATTATTCTTTTTTCTACATCGACATGTGAAGTTGGACTTACGATGAGGGTTAGCAAGTATGGCTTACAAGCACAAAAAAAAAACACTTCAAAACATCGTAAGTAGTGGAGATCATTGTTTTTCCAAATATTTTTTATTTACCATTTATGCTTTAAGAAAAATAACTGAAATATAAATATTTACTTGTAAATAGTAATAATAATAATAATAATTATATATATATATATACACACACACACGAATTGTATGGTAACCCAACCTCACTGTACCTTACAAAATATTGGAAACTATGCATGTATGGTAAAATAGAAAACAGGATGTTCATTAGCACTTTCATACCTATATTACCACTAAATCCTGACCACCCAAGTATATTGGATCAGATAGAACTTTGTACAGAGCTATACCATAAATATATATAGTACTTTAGAAAATTCTTCTTGTAACTACTGTACTGTGTTTACAAGCTGATAAATCCTAATCCACTATGTTTTCAGTGCCGGGATTCAAATAAACTCTAGGAAACATCCGCTTATCGACCAACATTAAAATACCTAACAAGTTTATTGGATTGGCCTAGACTTTCTACAAAGCCATAGCATAAGCATTTTATAATACTTTAAACAATTTTCATTGTAATCATTATACTGTCAACAAGATGATAAATCCTGTGTTTTCAAAGCAGGGAAAGTTCTGGGAATTGTGCCGCAAAAGCTCATTTGATATTACCTGACAAAGTACAGTAACACCTAAACAGGAATGGTGATTCATTGCTTTATAGTCTGCAGGTTTCTACTACAGCTGCTAACAGTAGAATAAACAGAGGAATTAGGTGTTAAAAGATTAGAAGAAACTCTCAGGAGATTTACTTTGGAAATTCATTGTCAATACTGAAAAGGACAGAGTATTATTCATTTTGTTTCTTAGCCACCTGACACAGATATATATATATATATATATACAGTATGGAACAAAGAGGTCACATGTCCAGATGCGGATTTAAAACAGAGAAAGTTCTGGGAATTGTGCTGCAAAACGTAATTGATATAGAAGGTGTCAAAGAACTCAATGTACGGTAACACCTAAACATGAACGATGACTAATTGCTTTATATTCGACAGGTTTCTATTTCAGCCGCTAACAGTAGAATATACATAAGAAACAGGCGTAAAAAGATTAGAAAAATCTCTCAGGAGATTTACTTTGGAAATTAGTTGTCGGTATTGAAAAGGACAGACAGTTCTAATAATCTTGTTTCTTCTAATTTTTAAGCCATCTGCTAGCAATAAAATAACTACAGAAAATAAGTATGAAAAGGTGAGATATAAGTTCTTTGAAATTTTGTGATCAGTACTAACAATACTATACCTTTTATTTTGGATTTGCAAGCTTTATTTTTGGTATACTTTGGTTACTTACCTACAACCTGAAGAATCAAGTATAATGTTACAGTAAAGAAAATAACAAATAAAATATAAAGCTTTACTGAAAATAAAAGTGTTTGATATTTAATTACAAGATATGTTATTTTTCACTTGTTTTCAATATTTATTATTATAAAAGTAACTAAAGTGTAAAAAATAGAAACTTATTAAGTAAGATAATGAAAGAAAATCTTCGTGGGATATACGTGCCAGCTGCTTGTGTGTTAGGCTGTTCAATATGGTAAAGTGAGCTGCATGTGCGTTGTGTAATTTTCAACTTGTGTCAGGGTAGTTTTAGTCAGACACGGTTCAAAGGTCAATAAAATAAAAATTAATAAATATAAATAGATGTATACTGTTAGGAGATTTAAGCTACTTAGAATAAACATTTGTGGTTTCTAGTTACAATTTGCAATGATTTTCTAAAAACAAAAAAGAAAAGGTTACTTAGATTTCCTAATTTTTTTATGATGGTTACGAGGTCAGGCAAATCGACCAACACCATACAGAGCTAGCATTGATAAAATAACAGATTAAATATAAAGTTTTATTTTTAAAAAAATGTTTGATGATTACCTAGAAAGATATAGAGATTACACAAATGAAACTTGACAATTTTCAGATAAAGAAAAGTATTTTTAATCTTAAAATCAAAATTACTTTGCATGTTGGACAGTAAACATTCTGAAAGAAAAGGATTCACGAGCAAATCTATAATAAAAAAATCTTAATACTTAATTTAAAAACTTGATATATTGTGTATGAAATCCTTGTAATGTTTACTAGTAATCTGCAAAATTTTGTAAAGAAACTCATGCATTATAAAAAAATTATAGTAGAATTACTCACATGGATACTTTCATGGTTACAATCCCAGCCAGCCCGTATTAGTAGGGTTAATAGGGGGTGACCTACACTACACTGACATAGACCGCCCTGCTCTACTTTCCACTCAAATTCTCTCCAGAGGGATACACAACTACTGAGAATCTTTAAAGGTTGACCACCCCAACAGTTAGGAACTGGTGGTGGCAAGGGTCTCCTATGCTCCACTCAATGACCTGAGGGAGAAGAATTTACATTGAGTAGACAATGGAGGTGCCTAGACTCAATCAGACCTAACCACTGCTGAGAATTTTTACTAAGGTTATTGTAATGGATTACTGAAAAACCTAATTTGAAAAGCCATCATTTGTGATAAGGGAAGTGGGCAGACCCTCTCAAGGTAGCCATATGCCTCATCATTTAATTAGTGACACACATGAATGGATTAACGAGATTCCCACTGTCCCTATCTACTATCTAGCGAAACCACAGTCAAGGGAAGGGGCTTGGAGAAATCACTTTGGGAGCCAAAGTTAATAGGTTTATTGATTTCCATTACCCTTGACTAGATGCAGGATTAGGGAAATAAGTATACCCTGTGAGGCAAAAAAAGTTTCAAGAAGTGAATGGGAGTACATTATAAATAGGTAAGGAAATAAAAGAAGCATTTAAGCATTAAAGTCAGTAAGAAGACTGAAAAATGGCAATTATAAGGAGGCAATATTCTGAGAGAAACAAAACTGACAGATTGTAGAGAGAAAGAGAGAATGGAAGACGAAGGTGTTGGGCATAGTCCACATTCCAGCCTGGAGGATCTCATCCAAGCGTCATCAAAAATGTGAAGCCAGAGAGGGAGTCAAGATGTGGATTTGATGTAATGATACATAGGATACATCTTGTGAGCATCTTCATCCAGGAAGGAATAAATGATCCAGATGACCTGACAAGTGCATCTAGTATGCATAGAGGAAGAGAGATCCCAGGAAGAAGAGTCCTATATCTAGAATAAACGACTGCAGGAACTACAAAATTGAGCCATGTATATCAAGTAACACTTGACTACCTGAACTGAATGATTATAGAGGGCCAAGATTGTAGGAGAAGACATGGAAAAAAGGTACAATCTTCCTCATAAGCCTCCCTAGTCATAGGAAGAAATGAGCAGACAGGGAAGAAAAGCAAGAAAGGTCTGTGAAACAAAATACAGGAGGTATTCAATGCAACAAAACAGATCTATGACATCCACTAGCAAGAAGGAGAAGGAAACAGGTTTTTAATAGAGAGATGATATAAGGGGCAAGTGGCCAAGGAGTAAAAAAAGAGCCTGGGTAAGAGCATGTAGAACCCCATCAAGGTTCCAGTTGAGCAAAGGAAGCAGACAAGGGGGGCAACAAATTAGGAAGGACAAGAACAGAGTGGAAGGAGTATGAAAGGAAAAAACAGAACCACAGCAAAAAAGGTGAAAAGTAGTTGACATAGCCTCCTGAAAGTCTGCAATGATAGAAACCAACAATCCTTAGTCGAACAACTGGGTTAAGGAAGGCCAAAAAGAAGGCAACATTAGGACAACCTAATGGTAGAGAGTGGTGGACAGACCAACAGCAAAACACCACCACTTTTGTAGGCAGAAAAAGAAAATAGAAGGGCAACACAAATAGTATAACAGATGGGCTACACTATCAGAGAAAATTTAAAGGAGAGCAAGGGAATGGATAAATCCTACTTGTGAAGACAAAGGGATGACACTCCAGAATGAAAAAAAGATGCATGGGATTGAAGCAAGAGTGACTGAGATAGAGGCATAAGAGGAGGTAACCTGGATGCCAATTGGTGAAAAGTAAGCAGCCAAAAAGTACTACCAACAGGACCTGACAAGGAGTTTTGTGAACCAATGCAGAGATACATGAGAGAAGACAATGAAGGGGATATACATACAAAAAGAGATAAGCGTAGTCCTGGGTAAGGGCATTCACAAGGTAAGATGAAAGTTAAAGGAAAGAGCAATATGTCCCGGAAGGTCCCAACAATACAGGAACCAAACAAGACAGGAGACAAAACCTGACCAAGGTATTAAGAAGGACCAACTGTAGATCCCAAGAAGAACTACTGGGATCATGGTGTAGAGCTTCAGATAGAAGACAAAGAGAGGACACACAGCAAATTACTGGAGACAGGGGACCAGTCCACTAAGTGGATAGAAAGAACTCAATGGATTGGGATTGTTTGTTTGTTTGTAATTATGCACAAAGCTACACAAAGGGCTATCTGTGCTCTGCCCACCACGGGTATCGAAAACCGGTTTCTAGCATTATAAGTCCGCACACACACCGCTGTGCCATTGGGGGGCGGATTGGGATTCCACAAACAGAAAAGGGGTATAGCCATAAGCCATGGTGAAGGAAATCTGGAGTTGTGGAAGATGAGGCATTTAAAAATAGGTACACAAGTCTATGATGACACATTCCTGGAGAGTCATGTAGTAATGAATGAAAGAATATAAAGACATAGGAGAAAGGGAAAGTAAAGACCAAGTTTGAGTGATCAAATCTACAAAGTGGTTTGTAGGAGGAACATTGTCCTCAATGGGTAAAGTGCCAAGAAGGCATTCAAGAACCCACAACACAATAAACCATAAAGCTAACTTCTTCGACAGTCAAAGAGCATCCAGTTGTTACAGACAAAACAGGGGTAGTGTCAGCAACATTTCCATAACCTCAAGATTAAGTAGTGACAAATTTTGTTCTACCATAAAGTCTGACTTTCTTGCAACATAAAATCACAATGCGGCCATAATCATAGCGCAACACCATCACAATGTTGCTGCAATATAATCTGGGCAATAGATAATACAGGTCTACTTTTTACCATTTAATCTCCCAATAATTAAAGATGACCTAGAATTTGTTATAATTAAAAAGCTTTTATTGTCCCTTTTAGACAAGAGCAATAGTAATTACAGGTATGTGATGCATTTGTAACATAAAATATCTTGCAACTATCTCTTAGGTTACATAAATTTATTATGAAAAACCTGAGAGTGTAGATAGAATGATCTAATAGATAGCAATCAATAGTTTGTCTCTCATACATCTTTCATTTCTATGAAATATTATTTATATATTTATTATTCAAAACTGTATAAAATGTCTTCTCAGGTTAATTTTTGAATGATATTTTAAACTAAAATGAAAATGTATAATTAATAAATAATTTTACAACTTTTAAATATGAATTACAAAACATTCACTATTTAATAAAAAATGACTTAAAAACCAAAGTTTATCAACTTAATATTATGAAAATTAAAGTCTGAGATATGCTCATAATGTTTCCCAAATTTACACTATACAACTAACATTTCATGAGATTTGAAAATTAATTAAAATTACAAATTTTCAAAATATCATTTATACGAAAAACATTTACATTAATTTTATACCAAAATGAGTTTACTTCATAAAACATTTGTCCTAAAAGATTTATAACTTTTACTATCAAAATCATAATGTTTTCCTCATTACATTCTTTAGTCTCTAAAGAATAATAATGCATATGTTAACATTTTCATTACTAAAAATGTGACAATAAAATGCTTTTCTAGATGTATTAGTCAAATAAATTATAATAAAAATGAACAGAAGATTACCAAAACCAAACAGTGTTAGTCTATTCCACACAACAGATCAAACCATATTTACATCCAAAAAACTGGTGTTTACTAAACATAAATTGGACATATGTTAAATATCTGCTCATACAAAAAAGGAATCAAACAAGAAATTAACCACTTACATAAAGTTGCTGCATCACAAGGATTTGATACCAATATAATCAGTTTTTTCTATAAAATTAAAAAGTTGTGTTATAAACAAATCCAAGGAAATAATGCAGATAAATAAAATTAAATCCACTTCATATGTCTACCTTATTTGGAAATCTCAAATAAAATATGTACAGTATTGAAGAACAACCAAAGCAAACCAATTTTTAAGATAACTGGAAGACTCTCAATTAAACTAAATAAAGAAACAAAAATACCTCATCAATAATTTCTAAAAACAACAAATATATTTGACCAAATGCTCATGAAACAAAATCTACATATGTCCAACTAAAGTCTCTGAATTTAAGAACAAAAGAACATGAAAACTACTGTCACTGTTTGAAAGTGTAAAAACCAGTCATTGCTACTTGCGTACCACAAAGTCATAGAAATAAAACTTATTGCAGAACTAGAATATTTTCACCAAAGAAATACTAGGGAAGCAATAGAAATACGTAAAACTGCATACAGACTTACAAACAATAATATAGGCTTTCAACTGAATCCATTATAGAAAACATGCTTGAACAGAACTCTTGAAATCAACTTCCCCAGTGGTTTAGGACTGGGAAAGCAAGGGTTTTTTTCCTTTTTCCAATAGAAGAAATGGAGAAAGAGAAACTCATGGCGAAGAACACTGAAATGGTTATTGGACTGTCTTCGGCACAATAATCTGGAATTAGGTCTCATACTGAGAGACAGTGCAATGGGTTATCACAACTAAAGACAGCAGGCACAAGTCAGATGCAAGGAAAGACACAAACCTGGTGCTGTAATTTTTTCTTTAACATGTTCAGAACATTTAGAAAGATAAAATGTATAGACATCACCAAAGTAGAGTTATGTAAAATCCCATCTCAACAGTAGTCCTGAAGTAGGAGTGAACTGGCTTAACACTTTCCATACTCCCCTATTCTATACAAAGTTTGATACTGACTATATGGTGGGTTTCAACAACTCCATCATACACATAAATATTTGGAATAAAAGCCACTATGAAGAGAGGTGAAAGGCAACTAGACAGAGTTGAAACCATGGATAGGTTAAACCTCCCTGTAGTGTAAGTAATGTGTCAGGGGTCGTTTACATCCCCATAAGCAAATTCTTATACACGAGGTGTCAATAGCTAGATGTAAGAAAAGTTATGAGATGACAAACATGATGGAAGTAGGAAGTTATAAGCAAGGTTTTTGTAGCATCATAAAAGCCCCTGGTTAGGCCTGGTGAAAAAATAACTGTTTAGGTCCCTATACTAAAAAAAAGGATATCAACATCTTAGAAACAATACAGAGGTGGAAATAGGCTTAAAGGTTTGTACCCATTTCCTCTGGTGCTTAAAATAATTAAGTGTGATCTGATTCAGTTGTTCAAAATGTATTCATATGGCTTGTCTATTTTAATGGTAGATTGAAATGGTTGAAAATACAAACTTAAATACTATGAATAAGGTTAACTTATATAACCCTAAATGCAAACTTAAATGTTTTTGTTGACAGAATATTATGTTGGTCAGTTATTTAAACTTTTGGAATGACTTGACTGGTATTTTGTCCATCAAGGATGTCTTACTTTTTAAACTCTTTCTAAAAACAGAAATCACTTAATTCAGCCCTGATAACATTTCATTAACCCTTTTCTGAAACTCCTGTACAGTTATAACTTCTACATCTGTAAAAGATCATTCATTCAACATACTGGCTACTCTCATGAAGACATAAAACTGCCTCAACTAGATATGTCCGCTCCTTTTTCATATATTAAAATTATGACCTCTTGTTCTATTCCTCTTTGAATTAAATACAAAAACATCTGTCAATATCAGTAATTTGAGTTTCTAATTTGTATGAGACTACAGACTTAGTATTTTGACTCCACAAACATCTAATCTGAACCAGTGCTGCATTCAACATACCACGTGACACACAAAAACTGATGATTGTCTTTTATAATATTTGTTTTCAAATTAAGAAATTGAGTAATATATAGTACTAAAATTTGAATTATAATGTACAGTTTGATACCAAACTTATGACTATAATTACATGAATAGTAGTCTAAATAAAATTTAGTAGTTGAGTACTAACAAATAGAGAGTAGTACGGTGGTCCTTTACCTACCCGTATACG